AAAGTCTGGTCGATTTTATTGCTTGGCATCGTGAGAGTCCTCCAGTCTCTATGACTTAATTGTCATCTACTACCTGATCAGTTCCTGCAATCGGACATCTGCAGGGTGTCCTCGTCTGCGTCCTCTGCTTCCGGAATATTACCGCCACGGCACCCCACCAATCAATCTTTCCGCAGCAATCCATCGATGGGTTCGTACTCCTCTTTCTGCTCTATTCGCCTTATTGAAAGTTCTCTACGTCGTTTGGTGAGCTTATAGACGCCCGCGTCCGCCTGTGATGAGATCACTCTAAAGGTATCATCGACAACTTCGAGCGCACATCTATCGTCGATGGCAACTGCTACATCCGAATGCTTTAGCACCATCTGCCGAAAGTCCTGTTCCCGCTTAACGCCAGCCGTTTCGCTATCAAAGTGCGGACAGCAAAGAGCGTCTATGAGTCCAATGCCCCGTACTCTGATGTAGCTCCAGCTTTCAGGACGATAGAATTCCATGGAGTCGCTATGGCCCCAGCTGAACCAGCAGATACACCCTGCACTCAATCCCGAAAGAACGATTCCCCTCTCATATGCGTCTTTCAGAATGCTGTCTACCCCGAGTCTTCGCCAGCGTCTCATCATCTTCAGGGTGTTCCCACCACCGACGTATATCAGGTCTGACGAGAGAATCTTCTGTTCAAGCTCTACTTAGGGGGACTGACACCGAGCAGATAGAGTACATCCACCTCACAGCCAAGTTCCGCTCCATAAACGTCTTGAAATGCTCGCCAATATTCCTTTGAGTCGCCGCTCGCAGTCGGGATAAACAACGCCTTGGGGCGATCCTTGCCAGTTAGGGAGACGATCTCCTTGTCGATGGCAAGCGTATCTCCCTTGGCCATGTCTCCGCCTCCTATAGCAACCAGTTTGCCCATGCCTAAATCAGCTCCCTGTATCGTGGCTTATTCATGACCCATTCATCAATTGTATCTCTCGTGTATCTCTGGGGTTAGTTAAGCGAACTCCAACTTGATCGTCAAGGTGAGAGTTCTTGATATTGTCCAGTTTGGTGAGTCAAAGTGGACGGTAAGCAGTGCTCTGTTCAACATGACGCAACGAAGATCCTACTGGTGGACGGCGCCAACGGCTCCACCGCCCGCCGCTATCACCTCGCCGGTGACGCACTCCGCCTTGGGAGAAGCCAGATACGCCGTGAGCCACGCGAGTTCCTCGGGCGCTATTGGCCTGCGTATGGCGACATTTCTGCCCCACCTGGGCGTTGATCTCATCGCGCGACACGCCCTGCTGGGCCGCCTGGTTGTCCAACCGCTCATTTATCGTGTCCGTGAGCGTCAGTCCAGGGTGAACGACGTTCAGCGTAATCCCGTCTGGTCCAAGCTGATCCGAGAGCGTCTTGGTCATATGGACTACCGCCGCGTTGCGAAGCCCATATATCGTGGACTGGCGCGCCGACACGCCGCCGATGCTTATGACGCGCCCCCACTTCTTCGCGCGCATATGAGGCACGACTGCCTTTATGCTCCTGAAGTACCCCACGACTTTAGTGTCGAGGTCTTCTATCAGGTCTTTCTCGTCCGCATCGTCGATCGTGCCGCGCACCTGCCCGCCGACCATTGCCGCACTGTTGACCAGAATATCTACTCCGCCGAGTTCGGAGACGGTCGTCTCCACCATCCTCTGCACGTCATCCCAACTTGTTGTATCGGCTGAGATGGCGACCACCTTTCGCCCCGTAGCCGACCTTATCTCCTCAGCCGCTTGTTCCAGTGTGTCCTGTGACCGGGCGGCGATGGCGACGTCCACCCCCTCCTGGGCCAGCGCAATGGCGATGGCTTTGCCTATGCCCTTGCTTCCGCCGGTGATCAGGGCGGTTTTGCCTTGCAGTTCGAGATCCATATGTCTTTCTCCTGTCTCCGATGTCAAATCCGAATTCCGGTCAATTGTACAGATTTCAGCCTCTCAATTTCGCCTTGGGACCCGTCGGAGTCGAGGCTCGTGCGTCGCGCACCAATATAGCAGGAAGCAACATTAATTGGGTGTGAAGCCCCACGCTGCGACCCTCCGATGATTGACGGCACCCGTCCCATTGCGTACTATCGCAGCGGCAGTCGAAGGCGTCAATTCAACGCCACATTCAGGAGGTAGAGATTGAAGTACGACTACATTGTCATCGGCGCAGGTTCGGCAGGCGCTATCCTCGCCACGAGGCTCTCGGAAGACCCCAACACCTCTGTGCTCCTGCTGGAGGCCGGCCCGGACTACCCGAACATCGACAGCCTCCCTGAGGAGGTCAAGTACGGCTACATGTCAACCAAGAGTGTCTGGGACAGCGATCACAATTGGCAGTACACCGCCAGGGGCACCGAAGAGGCCGAGATCGAGATTCCCAGGGGCAAGGTGACCGGCGGATCCAGCGCCATCAACGGACAGGTCTTCCTCCGTGGCATCCCCGAGGACTACGACAACTGGGCGAAGTGGGGCAACGACGAGTGGAACTTCCAAAAGCTTGTGCCCTACTTCAATAAGTTGGAGACGGACACCACCTACCAGGACGATCCCGGGGACTTCCACGGCTCCAGCGGGCCTATTATCTGCCACCGCTTCCCACAAGAGGAGTGGCGGGAGGGGAACAGGGTCTGGTTCGAGGCCTGGCGTGACAAAGGGCATCCGTACTGTGAGGACCACAACGCGCCCGGCACCGCGGGAGTGGGGCCCATACCCCTAAACAATCCCAACGGCATCCGCTGGTCCACGGCCATTGGGTACATGAGCCTCTCGCGCCACCGGCTCAACCTGACCATCAGAGCCAACGTGACGGTCAAGAGGTTACTCTTCGACACCACTGGTCAGCGCCCCAGGGCGACGGGAGTCGAGGCGGTCTCCGACGAAGAGACTTTCGTCGTCGAGGCCGAAGAGATCATCCTCAGCGCGGGCGCCATCGGGTCGCCCCAGATACTGATGCTCTCAGGAGTCGGTCCCCAAGACCATCTGAGGGAGCACGGAATAGAGACCGTAATCGACTCGCCGGGAGTCGGCCAGAACTTGGCAGATCACCCCCTCCTCAGCATATTGTGGGCAACGAAGCCCGAGGTGGAGCTAACCAACTTCGTGCCCAACGCCCAGTTACTGGTGAGGTACACGGCCGAGGGGTCTGACATCGAGAACGACATGATCGTCTATCTGTCCGCGGCTTCGGGTAGGGGGCGCACCATGGGCGGCAAGCACGGCGACGTGGTGGGCCTGGGTGCCGGCCTAGGGCTGAACCTGGCGCACTCCAAGGGCGAGCTCCGGCTCCGCTCCGGCGACTATAGGGACCAACCCTATCTCGACTACAACCTCCTGGATCACGAGGAGGATCTGCGCAGGTACAGGGACGGCGTCCGTCTGCTTGTCAGTCTGGAGGATCATCCGGCGATGGCAGCCATGATCGACGAGAGGGTCTACCCCGAGGGCTCGGACCTGGAGTCGGACGAGGCACTGAATCTATGGATGAAGAGGTATGTGGGAACCGGCCACCATATCTCCTGCACCGCCAAGATGGGACCTAGCTCAGACCCAATGGCCGTGGTGGATCAGTACGGCAAGGTCTACGGAGCGGAAGGCCTGCGGGTCGTGGACGCCTCGATCATGCCCGAGTGCGTCCGGGCCAACATCAACGTCACCGTCCTGATGATAGGAGAGCGCGTTGCAGACTTCATCAAGCAGGGAAAGTGAAGATCGGGATCCCCTTTTCCTAATGTGGGAGGCGCAGGGCGTCTCATGGCTGACAGGAACACGATGCGGGGCACTGTACTACTGGTCCGATAGCAGGGTGCCGCCAAGGTCGCTCTAAAGACGGAGCAAGGTGGAATTGTCATAAGCCGGACTGGCCATAAGCCGCATAGCCGGTGGAGACGGAAGATCAGCCCGTTCTCCACTGCTCAGCGTCGTCCTCTGGTTCGTACCCAATCAGTTCGCGCGAGTTCGAGATGTCCCAGAAGCGCCAGGTGTTGTTGGAGACGCCGTAGAAGATCGCGAACCTGATGGTGTCGGGCGCATCTATGCACCTGCGTACCAACTGCACCAGATCGCGGTGCGACAGAAGGGTCGCGAACTGTCTTGTGGCCTGCGGCGTACCCTCGCGGTTCAACGTCCCGATCCGAAGGCAGATGACCGACAGGCCGAAGTGGTCGGAGTAGTATCGTCCAGCGGCCTCTCCGAACGCCTTGCCTATTCCGTACGGCCCGTCCGGTCTTATCGGCATGTCCACTGTTACACGGGGGAAACTCGCCGGGTCCAACCCGTCGTACCTGCCCGCAACGATGGAGGCGTAAGGCTCGTCCCCCTCGTAGTTGCCGGTCGCGTGATTTGAGCTGGCGAAGATTACGCGCTTCGCCCCGGCCCGTCGCGCAGCCTCCAGTGCATTGTAAGTCGAAGACAGATTGTTTCGATAGACGACATCCCAGGGACTATCCTGGTCCGGCACGCTGGCGAGATCGATAACCGTATCCACGCCATCGTAGGCAGGCAGCACCGCGTCGAGATCAGAGGTGTCAGCAACGAGGCTGGTGAAGCCGTCCACTGATCTGATATCTACGCCGGTTACGTTGTACGACTCTTTCAAGCCGTTCTGGAGCAGGCCGCCTATGAGTCCGGCCGCTCCGGTTATCAGTACGTTCTTTCTGTCAGGCATGTAGCTCTCCCCTAAATCTGCAATCAACTGTAATCATAATCAGTCCAGCAGCGCCGATTATAGTTCATGCAGGCGCGCTCGGCTACGAACCTACCTGTGCGATCCAATATGTCCGGTTGATACCGAACTTCCACTGCATCCAAAAGCATCTGTCACTCCGAGCCGTTGTCTTGACCGCTTGTGCCATCTTGGGTTAGATTCAACGCCAGAATAGGCAGACGAAACGCAATCCCGTAAAATACGCAGTCTCCGGATGTTGCGCCGCCCTATTGACAACAAACCCCGTCCTGCCTGCTCATTACACATCAAGGTAACTTTAAAGCTCGCTGATGGAGGAAATGCCTATGCCGTTCTACGAAAGAGGCCCCAACCGTATCTACTACGAAGAGGTCGGTTCGGGATTCCCCCTGCTGATCATTCCGGGCGGCGGACTTAATTCCACCGTGGCATCTTTGAATACTTCGGTGCCCTTCAACCCTATGGAGACTTACAAAGGCGACTTCCGCTGTATTGCCGCCGATCTACGCAATGCTGATCTGGGCCAATCGAGTGGGCCACTGGAGATCGACCGCCCCTGGGACGCCTACTCTGATGACCAGCTTGGGCTGATGGACCATCTCGGCATAGAGGAGTTCCTGGTCATGGGCTTCTGCATCGGCGGGCCGATGATCCACAACCTGCTCAGGCTTGCCCCGGAGCGCATTGTGGCGGCGGCGCTGATGCAGCCAAGCGGGTTCAACCCGGAGGCGCCAGATGTCTTCTACCAGAACAACACATCGAGGTGGGGGCCTCCCCTTTGCGAGAAGCGCCCTGAAGTCACAATGGATATGGTCCATGACTTCCTAACCAGCATGTACACCGACCGCGCCGACTTCGTCTTCACCGTTTCACGCGACTTTGTGCGTGCCCTGCAGACACCGCTGCTGATAGCGCCAGATGATGTGCCGGCGCACCCATACGAGTGCGCGATGGAGGTTGCCAGCCTCGCCCCGAACTCCGAGGTAACCATATTCCCCTGGAAGGACTCGCAGCCGCACATCGACGAGGTCGTATCTCACGCCCGGCGCTTCCTGAAGACCCATGAACTGGTAGCCGCGACAGCCTAGCAACCATTCCACCTTGGCGTACATGTAGAGAGCAACGGTCGCACGTAGCGTGCCCCGAAGGCGCATTAGCGGCCTGAGTGACCCGAACATACTTCAAGTGCAAAAAGGTGGACACCTGATTACAGTATGCTTAGAGACCGTTAGGGTTGCAGAGTATGGAGCCGCGCAACCTAGGCAATCAGGGACAAGATCATAGAGAACGAGCGCGCCGGTGAGGCGCTGACACTCGACGGACGAGGCGAAGGAAGAGGTCGCCAAAGAAGGAGTATCCTAATGACAACTACACCGGGAACCGAACTGATAGAACTCGAAACAGGCGTTTTCGCCCGGCTGCACGAAGGCCTTACCAACGCCGGCATCATCGTCGGCGATGACGGCGTGTTGGTGATAGACTCGCTGCGCGTCCCCTCATTTGCACGGGATCTGATCCGAGATGTCAGGCACATCACCGACAAGCCGATTCAATACCTGGTTGACACCCACTCCCACTGGGATCACTCGTGGGGCAATGAAGAGTTCCCCGAAGCCACGATCATCGGACACGAGAACTGCTACAACGAGATGGTGGACGTCGAGTGGAATAGGCAGTGGCGCGAGAGTGTAGTAAGTTCCGGTGATCCTTGGTCGGAGGAAGCCGGACTCGTAACGATTACGCCTCCCAATCTCACGTTCGAGACCAGCATGAGACTCTACTTCGGCGGGAGGGAACTGCATCTCAGGTACTTAGGCAGGGCGCACACGAGCGGCGACACTCACATCCAGCTTCCGGACGACGGCATCGTCTTCTGCGGGGATGTCGCACAGGATGGCGGAGTTCCCTATCTTGGCGATAGCTACCCGGAGGAGTGGCCGGACACCGACGACCGTCTGGTCGATCTGCCAATCGAGCGATTCGTCTCCGGGCACGGCCCAGTGGGACCACATTCCGCCTTAGCGGAGGCGAGAGATTTCATTCACGATCTCGTCGGCGCTCTCAAAGCTGCAGTCAGAGACGGCAGGAACGAACAGGACGCGGCCTCCATGACAGTCGCCGCTCTCACTCCCCGCTACGGAGGATGGCGAAGTTTTGAACGCCTGGAAGAGACTTTGCCGGAGGTGTACCGAAAACTCACCTGACTCGCGCTAATACACTCTCCAGCGTGTTAGACGTCCATGCAGTCGTGGCTGGCGCCTGTTTGTTCTTCTGCCCAAACCCGGGAATGAAGTACGAAATCCGTGTACGGTCGTCATTGAATGGCTCTCTTACCGCAATTAGGAAGTGCCGATAATGACGCTTCAGACACACGACACAGTCGACAATGCATCGGCTGTTATTACAGACGAGCGGCGTCGGAGAGTGGCCGATGCCCTAGAGAGCGCACAGTCCGAGAACACTCGCTAGAACTATGCCAGCCAGTTGCGACAGTTCCGGTACTGGTGCCAGCAAGAGAACCACTCTTCGCTGCCGGCCCAGCCCGAAGTTGTGGCAGCCTATACCGTTGAAGTTGCCGACGATGGCAAGACCATGTCCGCGATCCGGCTTGCAGTCGCGGCTATCGTGGATGCCCTTAGGCGCGTGGGACTGGAATCTCCACAGACTGCGGGCGTCAGCGAGACACTGCCGGAGGTGCAGGTCACGCAGCCGACTGCGGCCCGATAGAACAGAAAGGTTAACAAACTTCCGCACCACTTTACGGGACATAACCGTGCGGGGCTTGGTCCTGCGACAGGCCGACTCTAACAGGGGAAGAATCCGGACAAATTGCCACTGGCTTATGTCGCTGGGACAGGAATAAGAAATGATTACCCTCCTGATAATAGTCTCTACCTACCATATTTCAGAGATCTTGGACAGGTTCTGAGTAGTTGGGTCGCCAACTGTCCACCTGTGCAATTAAGGTATAATCCGAATGGATACAGGTGGCCAACAACTTATGGCTAGTTTCCGACCTTCAATTGAATGTCTTTCAAACAGCTAAACCACGTTGAGTTAGAAGTATGGTTCTTTCAAACACAGATCTTGATTTCGACGCAATTGTGATAGGAGCCGGTATTTCAGGCCTGTACCAGCTGTATAGACTGCGGGAATTGGGACTTAGGGTCCGGGTTTTTGAAAGAGGGACAGGAGTGGGAGGCACCTGGTATTGGAATCGCTATCCTGGCGCCCGGTTTGATTCGGAAAGTTACTCTTACGCCTATTCCTTTTCGCAGGACCTGCTAGACGAGTGGGACTGGTCAGAACATTTCGCATCGCAGCCTGAGATTCTGCGATATCTGCAACACGTAGCCGATAAATTTGACCTTCTAAAAGATATTCAATTTTCCAGCGCCGTTAAGTCCGCTGTCTATCACGATGGTACTCGGAGTTGGGAAATTCGATTGCAGGATGGGAACAGCTATAGAAGCAGGTTCTTAATTACAGGTATTGGTAACCTCTCTCAGCCTACTCTACCGAAGATTGAGGGCATAGAATCTTTCGAAGGAAAGTCCTTCCACACCTCTAGGTGGCCTCACGCGCCTGTAAATTTTGCAGGTAAAAGGGTGGCAGTCATTGGTACTGGGGCTACGGGAGTACAGACAATCCAGGAAGTATCCAAAGACGTCGGGCATCTTACTGTTTTCCAGCGTCGACCAAACTGGTGTGCACCTCTTCACAACTCAGAAATAGAGCCGGATGAAATGGAAGTTATTAGGGCCGGCTATGACGCAATGTTTGAGCGGTGTGCCCAAACTCGTAGTGGGTTTATACATACCGTTGATCCTAGGGGAACTTTTGAGGTGACTGCGGAAGAGCGGTATGAGTTCTGGGAGCAACTGTACGCCGGTCGGGGGTTTGGGATCTGGCAAGGCAATTTCAAGGATATCCTGACCGACCCGAAAGCCAATAAGGCCATATCTGATTTTATAGCTGACAAAATACGGGAACGTGTGAATGATCCCCTTGTGGCAGAAAAGTTAATTCCAAAGGATCAAGGGTTTGGGACGAGACGTGTGCCCCTGGAAACCAACTATTATGAATCCTACAACCGGGAAAATGTTGAACTAATAGACATTAACGAGACTCCAATTGAGAGAATCACCCAGAACGGCATTCTGACTACTGAGAAGGAGCTGGAATTTGATTTCATAATTTATGCTACCGGGTTCGATGCAGTATTTGGCAGCTACAACGCGATCGATATCCGGGGTGTTAACCAGCGTAAATTAAAGGATCAATGGGAAGAAGAACTGGCGACCCTTCTGGGGATTCAAACCAATAACTTTCCCAATCTGTTTATGATTATGGGACCTCATGCCATGCAGGGTAACAATCCTCGTAACATTGAATTCAACGTGGAATGGATAACAGGTATCATAAGGCACATGAGTGACCGTGGCCTCACTCGCGCCGAAGCCAGCTTGGAATCCCAAAACGGCTGGCATGAGTATGTGGTGGAGCAAGGCAAGGACCTGCTAATGCGCCAGGTAGATTCCTGGATGACTGGCGTCAACAGCAATCTGGAAGGCAGGCAAACCCGGATCGTAGTCCAATACACGGGTACTATGCAAACGTTCCGAAGTCGCTGTGAAGAAGTAGCGCAAAACGGGTATAAGGAATTGAATCTTACGTAGATTGAATTGCCAATAATGAACCAGAACAATGTTGTTGCTTAGCGATTCCGTCCGTACTAACTGCTAAGCGAAAATGTCCGCATTATGGAGAATGTGACATTGACGCAGCAAGAACAGGCAAGACTTCAGGTACTCAACAACTTACTCGCAGGGTATATGACAACAGAGCAGGCAGCTACCTTGATGGGAGTGAGCACACGCCACACCAGGCGCATGCTAGCGGCTTACAGAGAGGATGGAGCAGCCGCACTAGCTCACGGTAATCGAGGTCGCAGACCTGCCAACGCTACACCGAACGCATTGGCGACCGATGTAATACGTCTGGCGCGCAGCCGATACGCCGGAGTCAACCATACGCACCTGAGCGAGTTGCTGAGGGAGCGGGAGGGCATAGACATCGGTCGTGACACGTTGCGCAAGATACTGACGAACGCCGGTGTGAACAGTCCTCGTCGGCGGCAGCGGATGCCTCGTGAGGGTATGCTGATTCAGGTAGACGGCAGCTACCACAGATGGCTGGGAGAAGATGGACCGCAGTTCACGCTGCTGCTTGCAGTGGATGACGCCACTGGGGTAGTGGTCAATGCCCTGTTCTGCGAGCTGGAGAATACCCACAGCTACTTCCTGCTGATGTGGGGTCTGATACGGAACTGCGGCATACCGCTTGCACTTTATGCAGACCGGCATGCCGTATTCAAGTACACGCCGCCGTCAGAGGCTGCCGGTGCTCCCACCCAGTTCAGTCGCGCGATGGACGAGCTTGGCGTACAGCTGATATTCGCTCGCCCGCCGCAAGCCAAGGGGCGGGTTGAGCGTATGGCCGGCACCTTCCAGGACAGGCTCGTAACCGAACTGCGACTCGCGGAGGCAGCAACCATCGATGACGCTAACCGTGTGCTCGCTGACTTCCTCCCCCGCTTCAACCAACGCTTCCGTGTGCCACCACAGCACACAGAGACCGCATATCGCGTCCTGGACCCGCAGATGTGCCTCGACACAACCCTCTGCCTGAAGTACAGGCGCAGGGTTGGCCGGGACAACACGGTGAAGTACCGCTGGCGCACCCTGCAGTTACTGCCCGGCACGGACCGACCGAGCTATGCCGGAGCGGTGGTGGATGTGCTTGAAGGGCTGGACGGACAGTTGGCAGTGCAGCACGAGGGGCAGATCATCCCCACACAGGAGGCACCGCAGCGCCCTAATATCCTGCGCAACTTCACCGAGAGAACCGTGCATACTCCTGTACTTCCAATTGACAGCAATGGCTTGGGCAGACGCTGGGTAGACAAGCTTGCGCAGCTAGACGGCGAGCTCTCCCAAGACACTGCCGACGGCTATGGCACTGAAAGACTTCGCAAAGCTGCGGCTCCGCGGCGCAGAAAGCCGACACCACTTCAGACAGCGAGATGGAAAGCGGTGAGGAAGGCGAAGCGCAAGGGGCTGTCCATTCGTGGAATCGCCCGGGAGCTGGGCATACACAGAGACACCGTGAAGAGGTATATGAACGCTGAAAGTCCACCTTTGTCGCGGGGACGCGCGAAGTCGACGGTATCGTAGTCTGATAGCATGGCAATCTACAGGGGGTGACATTTTCCCTTAGCACTTAAGCGGACATAGTCGCTGAGCTTCGACACCGTTCATAGCAGGTGTAGAATTAGTCATCGACGGAGGATTTACCGCCCAAGAATTTACCGCCTGGTGAGGAGACACTGCTCTGCGCTCACAAAGTGACGACAGGTGGCCTGGATAATGACCTTAGGATACAATCTTGCTTTATCCACCCGACCAGTCAACAGGTGCGCATCATACCGTTGAGTAGGAGGGAATGCATGGCCCTTGACCTCGCTACAGCTAAATTCTTGGAGAAGATGGCTGAGGGCGATGGAAAGCCTATACACGAAAGCACGCCTCACGAGGCGCGCGCATTTGCATCCGAGATCTCAGAGCTTGCCGGGCCTGCGCCGAAAATGGAGCGTGTGGAGGAGCGTACTATAGAGGGCACGGACGGCGAAGCAACGCTTCGAATACTGGTCCCTTTCGAGTACTCTCGTGGCGTCCTGGTCTACTACCACGGGGGCGGATGGGTTACCGGCTCGCCCGACGAGTATGATACTGTCGCGCGTAAGCTCGCGGAGCGGACATCTTGCGCGGTCGTCCTGGTAGAGTACCGTCTTGCGCCAGAGCATCGCTACCCAACGGCCGTAGATGACTCATATGTTGCACTGGAATGGGTCGGTGAACACCTGAGCGAAATAGCGGGACAAGAGGTGCCACTGATCGTGGCTGGGGACGGCTCCGGTGGAAACCTCGCTGCTGTTACAGCTATACGCGCTCGCGACCGCAGCGGCCCACCCATTGCACTACAGGTGCTCATCTACCCCGTAACCGACGCAGATTTCGACCGTCCATCCTACTCAGATCCCGAAAATGGATTTCTGCTGACCCGCGATGCTATGATCTGGTACTGGGATCAATACCTTCCGGAGTCCTCTCGCCGTACCGAGCCCGGCGCCTCTCCTTTGCACACCGAGAATTTCCAAGGGCTTCCACCAGCTGTTATCCTCACTGCGGAGCATGATGTCTTGCGTGACGAAGGCGAGGCTTACGCGGCGCGTCTGCAGGAAGCTCACGTACCGACTGATCTCCAAAGATATGTCGGCCAGATGCATGGATTCTTTACCTTGCTGATGCTGCCCGGTAGCGAGCTCGGTTTCCAACAGGTTGTGAGGGCAGTCAGAGCGTGTACCGCGAGAGCACACAAATCTCAAACAATATAGTGACAAGGCCAATGTCCTGCCGAATGAAGTAGTACCAGGAGAAAAAAGATGGCGGCTAACTCAGATATAACCCCGGACTTTGACGCGGTGGTAATTGGCGCTGGCTTTGCAGGACTGGGCATGCTCAGGCGACTGCGAGAAGAACTTGGTATGTCCATCCAAGTGTACGAAGCGGGTGCCGGAGTCGGAGGTACTTGGTATTGGAATCGTTACCCTGGCGCACGATGCGATTCCGAAAGCTACGTGTACTGCTTCTCATTCTCAAAGGAGCTACTACAGGATTGGAACTGGAGCGGAAAATATCCCGAGCAGCCTGAGATCCTATCCTACCTCAACCACGTCGCAGATCGATTCGACCTTCGCCGCAACATCCAGTTCAACACCCGAGTAACCTCTGCGAAGTTCCTCGAAGACACTAACCATTGGCAGATCGAAACGGATCAGGGCGATCGCGTCACGGCCCGGTTCCTTATTACTGGCATCGGATGTATCTCAGCAGGCAATGTTCCAGAGATTACAGGGCTTGACTCCTTCGAGGGAGACTGGTACCACACGGGAAGTTGGCCTCACGAAGAAGTGGACTTCGACGGTAAGCGCGTCGCTGTCATCGGCACGGGTTCAAGCGGAGTACAGGCGATACCCGTGATCGCCGAGCAGGCCAAGCGCCTGACCGTTTTCCAACGAACGCCACAGTACACCATCCCTGCCCGCCACGAAACCGTGGATCGCAGGTTCATCGAGGAAGAGGTAAAACCCAACTACGATGATATCTGGGAGAAGGCGAGGTGGTCAAAATCCGGCTTTCCTGTAGACGCCAGCGAGCGCTCGGCTTTGGAGGTCACGGCAGAAGAGCGTCTGGAAACATATGAAGCCTTCTGGGCTAAAGGTGGGGCCGGTTTCACGTACGGGACATTCGAAGACATCCGCACGGATAGAAGGGCGAACGACACCGCCTCCGAGTTCATCCGGTCCAAGATCCGAGAAATAGTGAAGGATCCCGAGACGGTCGAAAGACTTCTGCCTACGGACCATCCATTCGGTTCTAAGCGTGCTCTCATAGACACCAACTACTTCGAGACATACAATCGCGAGAACGTTGAGCTGGTCGATATTCGCCACTCGCCAATCCAGGAGATAACGCCGAAGGGGATACGGACCGAGGACGAAGAGTTCGAATTTGACATTATCGTCTTCGCTACCGGTTTCGACGCGATGACGGGCAGTTTCTTTAGGATGGATATCCGCGGCAGAAACGATTTGACACTCAAAGAAAAGTGGTCCGAGGGACCCAAGACTTACCTTGGCCTGCAAGTCGCAGGATTCCCGAACATGTTCATGATAACGGGACCTGGCAGCCCGTCCGTTCTCAGTAATATGCCAGTCGCCATCGAGCAGCACATCGAATGGGTTTCTGACTTCATCGAGTTTCTGAGCGAACGCAGCATCAAGACAGCCGAGGCAGATCTCGATGCGGAGACCGTGTGGGTTTCCCACGTGAACGAGATTGCTGAGCCCACAATGTTCATGCTGGCGAACTCGTGGTACTTAGGTGCAAACATTCCTGGGAAGCCTCGTGTGTTCATGCCTTACGCCGGTGGCATCGGAACCTACCGCGAAAAATGCAACGAGGTCGCCGACAACGGCTATGAGGGCTTCATCTTCGGCTCCGCGAGTCGAAAACGGCCCAGTCTGACAGCTTCTCAGGGAACAGGTTGAAGACCTCCCTGCACTGGTGTCAAGGGCGGAGAAAGAATCCGAGCCAGCAGATAGTGGCGTGGCGCCGATAGGATGCTGTTCTTAGGCGGAACTGATGGATCTTCAGCTTTTTCAACAGTCCGATGCCGTCACCCCTGACAGCTTGGCTCTCTGCATGAGGCGTACGAGCCGCCTGAAGCTCGGCTCATGGCTAGACGCCTTGAGTTTCACCAAACACCGACGCACGGCAGTTGGCCGAATATGGCCGAGATAGAGTTGAACGTGTTCAGCTAGCGGTGTCTGAAAGGGCGCATTGATGATGAGAAGACGCTCGGAAGTCAGATAGGAGTTCATGAGGCCGAGCGTAACGAGGCGGGCGCGACCATAGATTGGCTCTCCAGGTCCCAGAACGCTCGTGTGAAACTCAACTGTATTTATCCGAAGCCAAAGTTGTGAGGACTATGCCAATATCACATTAACTTGGTAGTAGGGCCAGGCGGTCCGCCGCCGAATTACCCGAGGAAGTGACGAAGGTGGGCAGCCTCTTCAATGAATTGGAACCTGTGCGTTGTCACGTCCTCGTTGCCCACGCTGGCCCAGATTGCGCTTGTCAGTCCCTCATGTACCCGGTCCAGCTCGTCTGTGTATTGCCCAACCACGCTCATGTAAGAGTCGCCCAGCAACTCCCTCACGTGGCGCTCATTAGTAAAGCTCAGAGCCGCGCGCAGGTCCTCATCCATGTTGGGGTAAACTTCCCGAATAAACTCGAGATCGCTCTCGGTCAGGCAGGCAAGCCCCAGTAGCTCAGGAGGAACGCCAATCGAGTACAGCGATGCCGCGAATCCGATGGCTCTGGGGAGCGTGACTCCACCCACACCGCCGAGAGAGCGCCCGTAACCGAATAGTCCGACGTGCATCTTGCGCTCACGTCATCTGGGCACGTGTGCCGACACCGTCGTGATGACGTCGGTCAAGTCCGCACCCACGCCTGGTACTCCTCGGTGGACTTGTCGATGATCTCCTTCGCCCGATCTTGGTCTATGAACACAGGCTCGGTGCGCTTGTGAGCAACGTATCTCGACTATGCGTCACGTACGGGGTCTCTGCTCGTTACTCTTTCTTTTTTAAGTTATCGCTAACGCAATCGACCGGCGTCAAGGCTCAGCCCAACACCGGAAGGCGCTCAGCTACCATCTTCAAACGCATACGCGCACTACCGCTTGTCCAACATCACCGGAAGCACCAAACGGAACTCCTCATCATTCCACCAGGTGCGGCGGTCGGTTCACCACCACCGCGGCGCTACGAACATCCGGGAAGCCACTATGTCCTATACTGGTATGTAGGTTGATTCCAGTCACACCCCCGGGTCGGAGAGGTGCCGATGGCGATAGACACAAGCGGCGATGGGCCCGGCAACGTGCTGGCGCACACGCCACCCGGCGCGTCAGCTCTGGGGTTCGCTCGTGCACGAAGTCCAAAAGAGATTATAAAGACTTGCGACAGCCTTGGCAGCCTTCTGCCAGGAGGAGTTCACTTCATTCACTATGATGGCGCGAGTTACGCCGGCGGTCGCCGCAAGGGCGCGGATGAGCCATATGCGGCAGATAAGTGGACTGAAAGCATCGACCTCGCCGATATTACCGATGACTCAATGCGCCTTTACCTTGTGGAGATCGGCAGGGTCAATCTGCTGACCGCGAAGCAAGAGCAGACTCTCGCACGGCAGATTGAGGAATGGAAACATCTGGAAGCCGTCAAGACAGAGTTGGAAGCTCTCACGGACGGGTCTGTGAATGCCTGGATGTGCGTTCTTCACCTGATACGGCGAATCGGCCAATTGGGGCCTATAGTGGATGCCGTCTGCCGCTACAGCGCTACCCCGAGACCAGAGACCCTGACCGATGTGCTGAACGATGAGGAGCTGTCCGAGCATATCGATGGTGTGCTCCCGGAGGAGATGCTGCTCTTCGCGGCGGAGATTCTGAACAGGGAGCCTGAGGACGTCAAGCAGGGCCTCATCGAGCTGTCGCTGACCATCCGGCTGCTTCCGATGGAGGCTCCGGATGTGTTCGCCACATCCCCTGCAATCAGGGAGCTGCAAGACCTGGAGTTAGCGCCCGGGTTCATAGAAGCGCTGATGTCCTATGAACCCGTGTATTCGAGGCATTTCGCCAGTGTGGGGAATGCGGGCAGGCGCGCGCAACTGCATCTCCCAGAGGCGAACTTGCGGCTCGTCGTCAGCATTGCCAGAAAGTATCTCGGCAGGGGGATGCCGCTGTCGGACCTCATTCAGGAGGGCAACATCGGTCTCATGCGTGGGCGTGCAGAAGTTCGACTACCGCAAGGGCTTCAAGTTCAGCACCTACGCCACCTGGTGGATTCGACAGGCGGTCAGCAGATCCATAGCGGACCAGTCCCGCACCATCCGCATACCCGTCCATATGACGGAGATCGTCAACAAGCTGATGCGCACTACTCGTAAGTTCGTGCAGGAATACGGGCGCGACCCCACCGATGAAGAGATAGGAAGCGGGATGGACATTACGGCTGAGCGGGTGCGGGAGATCCGGAAGTTCGCGCAGCTCCCCCTGGCCCTCGAGACGCCGGTTGGCGAGGACGGCGGCGCACAGTTAGGCGACTTCGTTGAGGACAGGAACCAGGTCCCTCCCGTGGAGGCCGCGTCATACCTGTTGCTCAAGGAGCAGATCGCCGATGTGTTGTCCACCCTCAGCGAGCGGGAGGCGAGGGTGCTTGAGCTGCGTTTCGGACTCGGGGACGGTATCTCTCACACCCTGGAGCAGGTTGGCCGGGAGTTCGGGGTCACGAGGGAGCGCATACGCCAGATAGAAGCCAAGGCGTTGAGGAAGTTGAGGCATCCGAGCCACTCCAGGAAATTGCGGGACTTTCTGGATTAGGCGCACGTGAAACCGGCTGGCCGTAGCTCAAGACATGCTCCCCGACTGCACAGACCGGGCTATGCGCATATTCCCGGTTGACAACGCCTTGTTGCCATTGTCTGAGCAAGGAGCGCTGTCGACACGAACAACTGCCACACCGACGACGCAGGATCCCCGGATGTCGATGCGGCGTAATTATGATCAGCGACAATTACACTAGATTCAGCCGCCGCTAATTGACGCCCATGATTTGTATTCATCGAAGAATGAGTGGGCACCATGACAACAGACAACAGCCATGAATCGAGATGCCAGATTTCACTGCTAGAACGACGACCTGCACGAGGCAGTACTGGGGTTGCCGCTCTTTCGACGCGCGCGCCTCAATAAAATCACCTGAAGTTCCGCACTAGGCATCATTGAGGGAACGTGAACCTTGAATGATTCCGCTGAAGAACTGCAGGCCGCTCGTTGGCGTCCTGCAAGTGACTCGGATGATGATGACTGCGGGTCTATAGAGCGGTGCGATAGACATAGAGCGCTTTACGCCTAACGCGTGACAGAAAGAGTCCCGACGTGGGATTGACCACCATTTCGTCGACCCAAAGAGTCGTTGGAAGTGAGAATCCGTTCGCTTGGCTAGGCACCTCCGCGCCAAGTAGTCCGGGTACGAACATAGTACAACCAGCTTACTTGGTCTCGTCCCCAAGGGAACCTTGTCGGTACTACCAAGGTTACTGCCTATGACCGTAGGCAAGCTAAATTTGTTCGTCACTCTCCTCGGAAACCATGAATCTCAATCCCGACATAAGCAGACGATTACAAACTGCTCCGAAAGCAGAGCACGAATGCAAACCACGAACTCAAGCAGCCCGGTGCGACTGTGTGATTAGGAGAAGTGCCAATACGCTAGGTCTATCAGGCAGCCCAATGCACGCAATTTCCGCCTCCCGTTTTGCCATACCCGTAGTACAAGTCTGTGCCGGAATAGATCTGGCAATGACTGCCATCGTAAGTCCACAACGATTACGGGTAGATGATCGCCCTTGCTCGCGACAATTATCACCGTATTGCTATGCGTGATTAACCCAAGGGACGACGTCCTTCTGACCCATGAATGATGCTGTGACACACCCGAATGGATCTGCACACCGTCAGACCCGGCTCAAACGCCTGTAATGACGTAGGGAATGGGTGATACAGCGATACTGACTCCGAAGCCCAAGGGAATTGGCACTCGTGAAAATGAAACTACTGCCGTGCGCGCTAGGTATGGCACTCGTCGTAACTGGAGTCTAAGCGACTTACATTGAGCGAAGGACGCTCGCCGACTTGATGTTGCGCATTTACATCGCGCTGAGTCCTGTCACATGTGCATTGAGTAGCTGTCCGTCCAATGGATGGTTGGAGTTCGTCACCTTTTGTGTTCTAATACCGGCCGCAGTGGGCTGGCTGATCTGCACCTCCGGCAGAGCCTCATTGTAGATTGTGGCAGCAGGTGTCAGGTATCGACGGCCGACTATCCACTCATCGTTCTGCTCGGCGAGTACTGCTCCGACCAGCCGTAGCGTCGCTGCCCGGTTCGGGAAGATGCCCACAACATCCGTGCGCCGTCTTATCTCCTTGTTCAACCTCTCCTGCGGATTGTTCGACCATATCTTCTTCCAGTGCTCCATCGGGAAGCTCGTGAAGGCAAGTATCTCCGCTGCGGCTTCGTCCAACATCGCCGCAGCCTGCGGGAAGCGCTCCTGGAGCTGCTCGACTACCTTCTCGTGCTGAGAGTGAACCTCTGCGGCAGAAGGCTGCTGGTAGATGCTGCGCACCATCGTCGCCACCCAGGGCTGCGCCCGCTTGGAACCCGAGTCAGCAGTTGGTCATAAAGTGCGTGCGGCAGCGCTGCCAGCTCGCTCCACCGAACACGGCGGCTATCCCATCCCTGAGCCCCTGATGCGCGTCCGATGTGACCAGTTCCACGCCACTCAGCCCCCGTGCCACCAGTGAGCGCAGGAAGCTCAACCAGAAGGCGCCATCCTCGCTCTGTGCCCACGTCCAGACCGACTATCTCCCTCTTACCCTCTACGTTCACCGCTGTACCCACCACCACGCTCACGTTGACTATCCTGCCACCCTCATCGCACCTTCTGCGTCAGCGCGTCCAACCACAAGTACGCATACGGTCCGCCGTCCAAGGGCCGGTTCAGGAACTTCTCCACCACCTCGTCCAGCCCCTCGCAGATGCGCGACACCTGGCTCTTTGAGATGCCCTCGCATCCCAAGGCCTTCACCAGATCGTCAACTCTCCTCGTGGACACGCCCTCCACATACGCCTGCTGTATCACCGCCAGCAGCGCCTTCTCGCTCCGACGCCGCGGCTCCAGCAGACTCGGGAAGTAGCTCCCGTCCCTCGTTTCGGTATGCGCAACTCCATCGTGCCCACTCGCGTGTCCCAGGCCCTGCTGCGGTATCCGTTGCGCTGGGACACCCGATCCGGACTGCGCTCGCCGTAACCGGCTCCTGCCTTCGCGGATACCTCGGCGTCCATTATCCCCTCGACCAGCACGGCCAGCGCCTCTCGCAGGAAGTCCACGTCTCCGTCCATTCCTCTCTTGCGCAACAACTCCATAATGTCCATACTATCTCTTGCCATCGTCGTCCTCCTTGCATCGAGTATCTGCTTTCTCTAAGGATGACGCGGTGGCTTTATCTATGCCAGTCCACCTTCTCTCTTACACCACCTCCAGGGACTTACCGTCCCGGTTCCACGGAGATTCATCGATGTGTACTGTCCAGGTAGGCATCTTCCATTAGTTCCAGTGCCACCAGGCGACTGAATCTCTGCTCCAAAGCTGCTTACGCATCTCAGTGTAAACCGACGTCGGATGCCTTGATCGCGCATACAGCACGCAGTGGTTCCAGTAGAGCTGGTGACCCGCAGTCGGGAAAACCGCATCAACGCAGCCCATAGATCCACCATCCCGTCTCTTATAGTAAGCAGTAGCGGCGACATTCCGCACTTCCTCAATGCCCTTAGCGCATCAGTCTACAATGCTACTCTCGTGGTAGCCTAGCTCCATGCGCAGAGAATCCCTGCGGCTGCGCCCTTGCCTTGGTGCGCTCGCAATGCCTTCTCACTCTCATTGATCCGACCATACCAGCCTTAATCTGAGCATTCACAGATACTACCGTGTCACGGGTTTCTGTGGTGACCCCACAGTTAGGACAACGAAGAGGCCAGGTTAAGAGAGACTCCCGCTGGAAAGTCTGACGTTGGCTCACGAGATAATAACGTCGATGCCTGCTCTGGTAAACACCTGAGTGGCCTTCCTTCTGCAAACACCTGAGCCGGAGTCCGATAGCCCAGAGACTGGTGCGGCCGCTCTCGATTGTACAAGTCCAGGTAAGCGTCAATTCCTCTCCTGGCTTCACTACCATTGCGATAAGCTTTCAGATATACCTCCTCGTATTTGACGCTCCGCCACAAACGCTCTACAAAGATGTTGTCCAGGTATCTACCCTTGCCATCCATGCTGACCTTGATCCTCCGCTCCAGCAGCAGGCCACAGAAGGCTTCACTGGTGAACTGGCTTCCCTGATCGGTGTTGAAGATCTCCGGCTGTCCTTTGCTCAAGGCTTCTTTCAGCGCATCGATACAGAAGCCCACCTCCAGAGTATTGGAGAGCCTCCAGGCCAGCACGTATCGGCTGTGCCAGTCCATAATAGCCACGAGGTAAAGGAATCCCCGGGACATGGGCAGGTAAGTGATGTCGGCTGCCCAAACCTGATTGACCCTGTCGACTGTCACTCCTTTCAGCAAGTAAGGGTATATCCTGTGTTCCGGCGCAGGCTTGCTGGTATTGGGCTTGCGGTAGATGGCTTCCAGCCCCATTGCCCGCATCAGTCGCCGTACCCGCTTGCGGTTGACCTGATGCCCCTGAGTCCGGAGCCAGGCCGTCATCCTGCGAGAACCATAAAAGGGCGTCTTCAGATACTGCCGGTCCATCCCGGCCATCAGGTCCAGATCCGCCGGGTTAGTCGGTGTCGGCCGGTAGTACACCGCGGAACGGCTGAGCTGCAACAGACGACACTGCTTTACTACCGAAAGCCTGGGGTGTCCTCGGTCTACCATAGCCAGACGCCGGCGACGACTCATAGCCCGGACTTGCGCGACAAAAAATCCCGCTCCACCTTGAGTTGCCCAATCTGCTGGTAAAGATGGGCAGTCAGCGCTTCCTGGTCCCTCTCCGCCTTTGCGGTATCGTTGCCGAAGACCTCGGGCGCTCCCTGAATCAGGGCTTTCTCCAGGCATGAATCTGCGTGGAGTACTTCACACCGGCGGGCCAACTGAGTCCCACGGCTCTTCCCTGGAGGGCGGCCAAGGCTACCTTGGCCTTGAACGCGGGCTGTGCTTACTTCTGCTCTGCTTCCTTTTCCTGCTCCTCTTTCCCATTATGTAGGAGCGGGCTCTCTTAACCACCTGTCCGATGATTATTTGTGGGTCCACCGCTCCGTCACGAAAACCGTACAACGGGCCCGTCGACGTAGTGCTGCAAGTCTGTGCGAGCAGACGAATTGGCAGATGCGGTGTGGGAAAAGATTGTAGAAAGGCTTCAGGGCACTCGGATTGTGACGCTTGGAATGCAAGACCTAGTCGACTTAGGCCAAGGTCTGAGTGAGGAAATTCGAGACCTGGAGCAAACCATCGCAGCCCTTATCGCACGTGAACAAGAACTGATTAAGGTGATGAGTGTCGAAGGAATTTGACAACGCGCTTGTTGAATCAGAAGACGGGTGGGACCTCAAAAGTGTAAATGGGTCAGACGGTGTAACCTTTCTCCGAACAAAACGGGCTTGAGAACCCAAAGGAGGAGGCACACCGTCCATGAGTAAGAGAACCACTGAAAGCATGGGAAAGTCAAGTCCCGAATGGGACGAACTGGAGGACTGGCTGAGAGGGAGCATGCAGAATCTTATCCAGCAGGTGCTCGAAGAGGAGGTGACGGAGTTTTTCGGCAGGGCGAAGTCAGCGCGCCGATCTGAGGCGGACAGCGATAGCGGTTACCGGAACGGACACGGCAGGCCGAGGAAGTTGACGTTGAGTGGTGGGACGGTAGAGTTGAGGAGGCCCAGAGTGCGCAACACCGACGAGAGGTTCGAGAGCAGGCTACTGCCGCTGTTCGCCAAAAGGACCGCCAAGGTATCTGAACTGATACCGCAGCTGTACCTTCACGGGCTGTCTGAGGGAGACTTTGACCTGGCGCTGCGTGGGCTGTTGGGAGAAGATGCGCCGTTGTCGGCAGCGACGGTGGCGCGACTGAAGGAGAGGTGGAACGGTGAGCTTGCGGAGTGGCGCAGTCGTCGCCTCGATGAGCACGAGGTCGTCTACGTGTGGGTGGATGGAGTGTACGTGAAGGCCGGTCTTGAGCGCGAGAAGGCGGCGATACTGGTTGTGATCGGGGCCTTGAGCGACGGAACCAAGACGGTATTGAGCGTCGTACCGGGCTACAGGGAATCGACGCAGAGCTGGTCGGAAGCGCTCAGGGATCTGAGGGATCGCGGGATGAACTGTCCTAAACTGGTGGTAGGCGACGGTCACCTGGGCATCTGGGGAGCGTTGCGCAACGTGTATCCGGACGCCAGGGAGCAGAGGTGCTGGAACCACAAGATCATAAACGTTCTGGACAAGCTTCCGAAGAGGCAGCACGAGCAGGCCAAGCTGATGTTGCGGGGCATCCCATACGCCGGGAGTCGTGCGGAGTCGGAGCGTCTGAGGTCGCTGTTTTGCGGCTGGTGTCGTGAGCGCTCCTACGACGGGGCCGCTGAGAGTCTGGAGCGTGACTGGGATCGAATGGTGACGTTCTATGACTTTCCGGCTGAGCACTGGAAGCACGTCAGGACGACGAATGTTGTGGAGTCGCCCTTTGCGGCTCTGAGACTGCGCACCGATGCGGCGAAGCGGTTTAAGAGGGTGGACAGGGCGATAGCTGTGATCTGGAAGATGCTGCTGGTGGCGGAGAGCAGGTTCCGGAGGCTGAAGGCGCCGGAACTGATGAGGGACGTCTACCTGGGTGCCGTCTACAAGGACGGAATCGTCGTTGAACCGACACCAGAGAAGGTTGCCGCCTGATCACGTTTACACACATATTGACGTGACTCATCAGAATGCGCGATAGATCGCAGCGCAGGGCGCAAGAAAACAGATTGCAACATCCGCTTAAAATCTTGTCAAATGGGAGGAAGTTTGCAAAGTCAATGAGGCAGATTCGGCAGCATTCCCCTACACTTAGAGAGAACTCTGAGAAGCTTGACGTTGATGGAAAAATCAGAACACTTTCGGCGCTTGATGTCAAGGTGACAGCGATTCAGGGTAAATTTTCAATAGAGATTTCTGTTGACCCGAGAATTAAGTTCAGGCAAATGGAGCCTTCTCATTCGTCTTGCCTAAGGTTACTTAAGACTGGTAGGGTCCAAAAGGAAACCTCTGTAACCAGCGACAGAGGCTTCCTTTTGGGTTTCGCAGTTTACCAGTCAACAGACTGCTTTAAGAGAAGTGTTACGTCCATTGGACGAACATGACCATTAATGTTCGTTTATAAGTAATATATTTCGTCCATTCATAAGGTTATTTTCATCGATTTGCGTTGTCATGCGCTGTTGACCTGGCTTCCTTGCTAGATCGGCATGCTATTTTACTTCTGCGCAGCCATGCGAGCACATATTATGTTGATTGTGTCCTCAATGGGAGGTGTTCAGACCGGCTTCCCGAAACCGATGAACCAGCCGACCGTAAATCTGCGTTGAATCAGCCCTATCTCGACTCAGAACCGATTTGCGAAATCGTCTCAAGATATAACTGTCTAACTTACATTCCTATTACCGTGGCTGCAATAAACCGGCAGGACCTACCGCCGACGTGAATGTGGAGAGCTACGATGGTACATCCGAGCCACCAATGAGATAAAGAAATGTTACATGCCGGCTCTAGGAACGATTCGAGGGACGAGTTGAGTTCGGGCCCATCGTCAGTAATGCGCGACTCGACGACGATGGTGAAATGTACCTACACTCATACATCGTCTGTCATGGAGATCAGAGCAGTTGATCGGCATGTGACACGTAGGCTATCTGACTCTCTCTGGTCCCGGGCACTCGACCTCGGTTACCCGTGCATACCGACACAGTTCTTCGGGAAAATCGCCAGTAGTGGCAGAATTGAAAGAATGCTGGCGTGAATCCTGCCACCTTCTAGCAGTCGCGGATGGCCTGGCTACTGTGGAGGACCGGAAGGCTGACAGGTCGAACTACGGAGGGCCGTGAGCACTACTTACTACGCGTTTTCCATGCCCTAGCCAACAACTGCCGATCTGCTTGGCGGACCAGCATCAACAAGTCAACCAATCAGGCATGAGACAGGCATATAGGGCGTTGACCCGGTGAGGTGATGAAATCGAATGCACCCGGGTGCCGGGAGCGATCCTAGACACCACTTCCGCAGCAATCCGAGACTTCGCCCGTCCGTCGTCAGATGCAGGAGATTCGCCATAAGGCCGACTACGACCCCTTTGAGCGTTTACACGTCAGGAGTCTTGCAATTCATTCAAGAAACCAAGGACAGCCATCAACGACTTCGAGAATGCTCCCATTAGAGACCGCCGCGCATTTGCCGTGTTTGTACTATTCAAGCTGAGAAGAGACTAGGGCCTGTTGACATTTAGGGGTTGTGGCCGAAAAGCAGCGATTTGGGCTAATGTCGCCATTTTGGCACCAAGACCCCAAATTAGGGGCCGATTTGGCTGCTTGCATAAACCATACCAATATTAGCGATGAGGCGGCTCGTCATTTGCGCACCAGATTCACGTAAGCATTGCGCGATTTCGTAATGTCGTCGAATTGTGCAGGTAAACGGTTAGAGAGTCTCCCACGCCGTTCGCCCACTTGAAGAAAATGCCACGTAGAAAGAACTTGTCTCTTTGCTCATCCAACTCGTTATGTTAGCGTCAACCATTTTGGTGGCCTGCTACCACATCGATCCGTGTGCGTGGCAATTGTCGCGTATCATCAATTCAGGGGACTTCACGTGGACAGACTGAAATTGGGTCGTCTAACTACGAATGCCTTCCCCATAATGTCAAGCAGTCTGAAAGAGTCTTCTTTGCCCTACTGCGCGCGCTCACAACTTGCCATTGATTTCCTGCACTTCGTCCATTTGAACTTGGTTGTGACAAGGGGAACTCATGCTCATATACGAATGTAGAGGTCTACGGATGGAGAATTTGCAAACCTCCAGTGTGTCGCTGCCCAGGATAAATGTCAGGGTAAATGACCGGCATAAATGTCATCAACTTGGTCCTTGATGGTATCAGATCAAGAGTCCTTCGATGTCAGTCGAGAGGGCGACATAGACGGACTCTCAGCATCATGTACTTCCCCACGGTTGTGTCCCTGTGTATGCTCAGCTCACGAGCCATTCCACGAATTGACAGTCCCTTGCGCTTCGCCTTCTGCACAGCTTTCCATCTGGCCGTCTGTAGCGGGGTCGGCTTCCTGCGTCGCTGAGTCGCAGCTTTGCGAGCTCTTTCAGTGCCGTTGCGACCGGATGTGGTAAGGGCTCTTCGGCATCGTGGGTGGCACCCGGAGTCGCCAGTATGGCCGTCCATTTCTACTCAGACCGTTGGTGGGGAGATGAGGGACAGGTGTGTGTACGGTTCTCCCAGCGAAGCCGCGCAGTATGCTCGGACGTGGTGGCGCCTCCTGAGAGGGGATGACGCGTCCTTCGTGCTGCACTGCAGGCAACCGTCCAGTCCCTCGAGTACATCCACGACTGCTCCGGCGTAGCTCGGCCGGTCCGTGCCGGGCAGCAGTTGCAGAGTGCGCCAGCGGTATCTGACAGTGTTGTCCCTGGCGACTCTGCGCCTGTACTTGAAGCACAGGATCCGCTGCAGACACATCTCCTCGTCCACGGCACGATAGGCGACTTCCGACTCCTGAGCAGGTACCTTGAAGCGGCTGTTGAAGCGTGGAAGGAAGCCCTCCAGCACGCGGTCGCATCATCGATGGTGGTCGCGCCAGCGCAAGCCGGAGCTCCGTAAGAGTCTGTCTGGAACGTCCCGCGGTGCGCTCAACCGCCTTGGCTTGCGGTTGATCGAGCGAATATCGCTGTACGCCAAGCTGTCATCGCGCGCGAATGAACTGGGTGGGAGCACCGGCAGCCTTGACGGTGGCGTGTACATGAAACGGCATGCCGGTCTGCATAAAGTGCAAGCGGTATGCCGCAGTTCCGTATCAGACCCCACATCAGCAGGAAGTAGCTGTGGGTATTCTCCAGCTCGCAGAACAGGGCATTGACCACGACGCCCGTGGCGTCATCCACTGCCAGCAGCAATGTGAACTGCGGTCCGTCGCATCCTAACCACCGATGATGGCTGCCGTTATCTGAATCAGCATACTCTCGGTGGCATCCGCTGCCGCCGACGAGGACTGTTCACACCGGCGTTCGTCAGTATCTTGCGCAAAGTGTCACGGACCGATGTCTAGCCCTCGTGTTCTCTCAGCAACTCGCTCATATGCGTGTAGTTCGTTCCCGCGTACCGTGTGCGCGCCAGATGCAGCACAGCAGTCTCGTTGCCTACCGATATCGCATTGGGCGCTCTGTGACTCGATGGCCATGAGCAAGTGCGGCCGTTACATCCTCCTGGTAAGCGCCAGAATACGCCTGGTATGGCGCGTACTCACTCCCAGTATCTCAGCTGCCTGTTTCTGTCGTCATTTGCTCCGCCAGCAGGCTGTTGAGAACCTGAAGCCTTGACTGTTCCCTTGATTCAACGTCACATGTCCATGTCCTCCATGAGGTGACATTGATCT